TTTTTTCTGATATTGTTCTAGAGCAGATGTTCGCGTCCACTCGGCAACAGTGCCCTCGGCGGGGGTCATTTTACTCACCATGGTGGTGTTGCGCACCAATTCGCGCATCGTGAGGTTCTCCGCGTTGAGCACCGACACGCCGCCCCACACGTCCAGGATGGCCAGCTCCGTGTCTGCGAACAGAAGCCGCGCCAGTGAGTTCCTTTTTCTGCGGAGCGCCGAATACCACGAGGGAAAATATGTGGTTCCAGATGAAAAGCGCATACAGAAAGACGATCAAAGTACCAATAAATTATTCATGACATTGCCGGATATTTATAAAATGACGAACGCACTCGTAAAAATATGAAGAAATATGTTTTGTACCATTCAAATGAGACCATCGAGAAACCCGTAGAGGTAGATTTATAACAAAAAATAATTTAATGGATGTAATTATTCAATTCGCTTCACTAAATTTCTGTAACATAAATATAATTAATTGTATTCAAAACTGTTCATGGTGCTTAGATGTAAAAGAAGATAGTGCCTTTAGGTACACGGTAAAGTTAAATCAATAGATCAAATATTGCGTGACGAAATCTTTCGTCTGTCTTCAGCGTTTCTTTATGAACGATATATAAACACAGACCCATGAAAATCCCAAGTGTTGTGAGTCACGGCAGGACAATAAACCTTCCCTTACGGACTTTGACACAAAAATTCAAATTAATGCACGAAATACGTCTCGAATTTAAACGTAATATCATAATGTTATTATTGTACAATATACAAGCCACCTATTGGAAGAAATATTTTCCATCTCGAACAATAAAGATTAACGAAATAATTTTACAGTTTGTACTCGTAACTTAGTCTTACCAAGAGTAGGGCACAATTTTTTTCAATGCGATATTTGGAATTCAGATGAGAATTTTAATCAGTTTAAAAATGTACATATAAAAGAAACCTAAACGGCTTTCTAAATCACATAGAATAATAATTCGAGTGAAACAATATTTACTTGTAACTTTGCGGAAATAACTGCGCATTTATGTAATGAGAGAAGGTGCTGTTGATGTAGGTATTTTTCATTTTTACTTTTTAGCCCTTCGTAAAAAGAGAAAATATGTAATTATGCACCGTAAATAAGAGAATTTTAGGCCGAAAAACTCTTTATTATCGGGCCCGGTGGATAAACTTTGTTCCTATATGTATAGTAAATTACTTCCTCTAACACTTTGTGTAGTCAGAATCCATGGTTTGTGAGTCCTTGATACCGATCCGTCTGTCCATCAGTGGTCAACTCTAACTTCTAAACTGTTCTGCCGATTTCCTTTAAAATTGACATTCGATCAATTTAAAGGAACTCGTGGCTCTCTGAGTTTAAAACATATTTTGATTTTGGGGGACTTTACATAAACCTTCAACATTTTAAACTTTTTGAAATTTTCTATAATATGTTTTGATTAAACTTTGTCCTCGGATAGCATAAAGGTAGCTTACGAGCATGTAACAGATCTCATTTCCGATAAAATCCCGGAAGTTATAATTTATTTCGGTGTCTCTCTACAACTAATAAATTGAAAATAGATAGTACTTTTGCAGATTCATAAGTAATATAATAACGCTGCAAATCTGTTACAAATAATGCGAAAATGTATGTGCTGTTGTAGTACCACTAGTTTGTAATATATTTTCCCATGAATGTATAACGTGATAAATATATTCTTCTTTCTTCTCAATATCCCAGGTATTTTATTGTTAATCGTGAAATTCAAAATTGTATGCATAATTATCATCCGCATCTAAGGCTGTTTTACCAAATAGCATGCCAAGTGAGTAAAACAACAATATGTTGATGAACATCTGGCTCTAATGTTTATTTATATATTTTATATCCTGCTCGAAAATCATCAAGTGAGATATAAAACTATGAAGATATTACCTAAATGTACTAATCACCCACAGAGGCGAAGCATTAAAGCAACGTACTCGTAATATCCTAGGAAAAGGTGCCTCATAATATATGACGTCGTATAACTGTTATTTCTTTAAACGTGCTCCGTCTAAATTGCCAACGTGTTACCTCCTTTATGTTCCTACGTCGTGCTACGTGTCGCCGTAATATGGACCTTCGCGTCAGCAGTATTGTAAACCCCGCTGTAACAAGGCGTGGGGCGCTTTAACCTGGAGTGTAAATCTTCGGCGGTGTGTTTCACAGGGCTGAAGAAAAGACGCAACTGCATGAGAGCAGGCGAGGCAAGTGCACGCAGACGGTGGCACAGCAGGCGACGTCGGGCCACCGTATTTTACCGGGACGAGCCCCCCAAAATGACTCCACCGCGCTGTCATGGGAGAGAACAAGACAGTGATGAAGAGTAGGCTTCTGCGGCCGGACTCATTCAGTGGGTGGTCGTTAAATTAGAATTTTTTTTTAAATTTTACAAGTGTACATACATTATGACTATGTAACTGTACAAATCACTTTCTCGGTATCAGGGGATCCCAAAACCTGTATTCCGTTAAAAAATCGAAATAGATTTACCGCAGCATTACATACCTTTCTCCACACTATGCATATTACTCCATGCACTACGCTAAAAATATCCGTATACGAGAACGCAAAATCAATTAGAAAATATGCAAGGAGCAGGTGATGGCTGGAATGTGACTTAAACAAAACTTTAAACAAAACTAAACAGCTGTAATTAAGATAAAAGCGACTGAGAGATATCGACATTGATGAAAAATACTTGTTCTGCCTTTTAGAGAGAACTTGGAAATTGGTAAACGAACCAGCTAAATAGTTTGGGGTGGAAGTTTCCATTTGATGGGTGAGAATATTTGAGGCAGGTTGCTCTGACCAGTCACTTTAGCCGTTTCATATGATCAATTATATTAGGTAAATAACTTCCACCTTCATGGTTACAGGTTTATCCTCATTCCATATGACCTAGAAGGCTCCCGACAACTCTTGTATGACATAATGTAAATGTTTGAATTGAACAATAATGTGGTAGGAGGAAGAAACATCATCCATGGAGGGACAGTGCCTGCCAGTAGTAGCAGTAGTATCATTAACGCGGGTGCCTCTGCGAGTCGGTGACGCCATAATCGTTTGGCACGCACAGAGTGAGGTTCGGCACCTTTTTCGGGCAACCCGAGTCGGCGTAACTCTTTGCTTTCGCCTCACTGACACCACTTGAGAATGCTTAGAGTAAGAAGTATACAGCATAAGACGGATTGAATAGAATTTTCCAAATAGGGAAGACCCGATTTATACGCTTCTTTATGACCAACGCTTTCGGGAGTTTGAGCAAAAGCGCGTGTGAGCAGAACGGCAGAGCCGTGCGATTGCGTGGGATTCCGGGGCCGGACTTTGTATTGTCAAGGCTATCCGAATACGAACCGCGTCTCTGCTGTCGTGGCTGACATTTCGGCCAACATGTTGTGGTCTTCCTCAGAGCGTACAGACGCGGCTCGTTCCGGGTAGCCTGTACAATAGACAGAGCAGCGCGTTCGCTAAAACACCCGAAATCATTCGCCAAAAGGAAGCGTGTAAATCGGGACTGAGTAGACAATTAAAACTTCAAAAGAGCTTTAAACAGGTAGCAGACTTTTCGCAAAAAGGCTGAGGTCTAGAAGAGAGAAACGAAATAGTGGTGGAAAAAGGGTTGCAATAAACGCAAATGGCACAAACCTTTCACGGCCCACTCCTTGAACAGATGCCGGAAATCTTTCAACGAAACCAACTGCAAGGCAAACCTCTATCTCTTCCTCCCCCTTCTCTCTCTCTTTCTCTCTTGCAAGAAAAGCTTGTAGAATGGTAGAGCTCGTAAGACTCATCTGTGCACTTGATTAACATTAAGGTAGAATGTTTGTTAGATCAACCACTGTAAAGTACCACCAAAAATACTTTAAATGAAAGCAAAAACTCTGTTCTTCAAGATGGTAAGAATAAAAAGGCCCCTACCAGTCTAATTTTGTAATTAAATAAGTTTAAATAAGTACAGGCTCTTATAAAAAACCTTCACGGGCATAGATTTCTTTTGCTAGAATTGAAGACATTATTCAGTAAAAGTACTTCTACTTTTATCCATTATGAAGTTTTTAGGAATCAGATGGTATTTGTAAGGAAAGCACACAGTTACAACTTTTCCCCTGCAGGGAATCGAAGCCAGTGTTGCGCCATGGAAAGCGAGCAGGCTAACCAACCAGCCACCGAGAGGGTTTAACTTTTAATTATTTACAAATAATTATTTAAATGATCCGTTTACGTTTACAAGCAGCTATTGCAAATTTGCAGATGTAATACATGGTCTAGTGTTCGACAAGCGGCTGGCACGAACATACCGCCTTAAAGAACGAACGAGACACGCGAGAAGGGAGACAGCGCATGCGCAGAAGAGACACTTACGCATACTATCGCTGTTCAGAAAACATCGGGTAGCTTAATGAGTACTTGGGATTTCAAACGACGAGAAATTTTTCAGCTGCGTTCGCAGTTTGTTACATCGTTTTTTTTTTTTTTGGTACTTTCTTACACAAAACGTGAACGTAATTTTTTTGTGCCGAGGATGCCTATCGAAACGCTACGACGTTCATTTTTTGAGACGGCTTTCAGAATAGCCCTCCTGGCGCCAAGTCTAGCGGCAGGGGCAGCGTTGCTAGTGGTACGGAAGTCGGCCGCGACGCCGCAGCCGTTGGGGCGTCGAGGAGCTCGCACGCACGGGCCGGGCGCAGCTCCCGGGCGAAGGCAGCTCCCGGGGCCAACGGCTGCATCCGGAGACAAGGGCGCCGGCGCCGGGCCGATACTCGGAAGCGGAACTCCGACAAGGCGCAGCGTCGGCGCAAGGGCAGCCGGAGAAGAAGGCCGAGATAGGGCGGCGGAGAGGGGGCAGACGTCCTCTATGCACTGCACGGAGATACGAGCGAAAGAATGTGCTGCAGCCCTTTATCTCTCGTGTCAGTTTTCAAGTTCCCATCTCACGTTATCTTCGATCGAGCTCCATCAACTTCCACGGCGTGTCGACGCAAGCAGTTAATGGGGAATAGAACTGGAAAACGGCTTACAACTGGATGCCAAAGATATAGGAAAAGGTTCTAACACTTCCTCGTCAATTTTTTGTACGTTCCACGTATCTTTCGTTGTTTTTTTGAGTTGTATGCGGAACATTTAGTCGTAATGAAAAGTCTTTTTGTGAATTAATAATACCTTGAATATTGTGTTAATTAGCTACTTTAAAACTGAAATACGGCAAGAATGTTCCCATCAATAGTGA